ACCCATGACATTTCTTTCACTATTGGCGAATGAAACCTGGCCTAGAAAACTAGGTCATGTGCAAGCTGAGAAGAGTATAAATGTTATGATTATTTGAAGCCAAATATTGTTTTAATTAAAGAGATACAATCTTTCTGGCTTTTCGTCCATGGTCTCAACCTCAGCATGCCCTCTCTGACCCAAACCTCCAAGGTGATTAGTAATTTAAATATAAAAAAAAATAAAGATGTTGTTTTATAAAATTGTTATTACCCCTTTATTGTAAACGTTTTATTTATTTACTTTATTTTACACACTTGCTCTAAGTGAAATGGCTGAAAATAATAATATAATAATTCAGTCTTCTCTCAAATGTTGATGCACCTGGTACTGTTTAACAATATGCACGCTGAACAGAGCATGCCGCACATTTAAATACAATCACAATATTCACAAAACTTAATTTGAACTTAATTTTAGTTTTTTTTCTCAAAAATTTGCATGTTTTATTTAAAGGTGCACTATGTAACCTTCTGGTTGAGGGTCCATCACCTGTTTGTTTCTATGGATATGTCATTGCTCTCCCTGGAATGTTTCACAGTATGATATTAAATAGTTCTACATTTCATTTATTCAGTTCCAGGCAGTTTTCTGGTTGGAAAAATACCCAGAAAAACAAGCATTTGGACTTTACATGAGCTGGCCTCTCCACAGATCTGAGCTGTAACTTAGTCTGATTTAGTCTCCATGAAGATAGAAAGGTTTAATATCATACTGTCAAACATTTAAAACAAAGCAATAACATCTCCATGGAGAAAAGCATTTGACGGACCTTCCACCAGAAAAGTTACACAATGCACCTTTAAATAAGGGGCGTCAGTCATTTTAGGACACATACCTTTAAACTGAGCAGTCACATAGTTGAGTCCTTGAAAAGACAGAGAGTTTTGAGTTTTGTCCTTGTGTAAGTGTTAATGGGACCTTTATCCTCATGTGCGGTCAAACGTCCCACATTTGACAGGGCAACATGAAAAATGTCTCCACTGATGATGATTAAGTAGCTTCAATGTTCTGATAAAAATGAACCAAGGCTGCTCATCCAGCACAGAAATGAAAAGCCTCCAGTCACAGCTTAATAACCCGTTTTACAAGGTGCAAACAATATTTTTAAAAGGTGAGTAACTAAATATTTTGCAAATAGGCGTTAGGCAGGGTTCAGCCTGCAATGGCTACTACTAATATTGGCACAGGCACAGAGGATTCTGTATTCTTTATAGTAGTTACACTTTTAAAGCATGTGAAAAGACATTAGGTTATTAAGAAAAATTAATTAGTAATTAAGAATTACAAATTTGTTCATGTTTCATTAAGGCTAATGAAGGTGTAGTTATTATGAAGTTGTACTCAGTGCTGCTGCTAATCCTTTCTTATTTTCAAATGATCTTGTCAGCAAATTGCAATAGGACATCTTCTTTATTGATTTCTGCACAGTTTAGAAACAAAATCACTTTTAAAAAGTCCCCAATTGCCTCTGTTTTTGCATGTGCTGTTCCGGATGACATGAATGTAGTGTGCATGTGTGCTGTGCTATTTACTCAAAGGCTTGACACATGCATTAGTCACAACATGTGAGGAACAGGCCCCCTCTCTTTCATTCTACATCAGAAAGAACCAGGAATCGTCTCCCTTTGGTTAATTTCACGGTAATCATTGATGTCACGACCACCTCTCTGGAACGCATCCATGGTGTCCACTGTGCTGTACTCCTGTAGTGTACACCACGTGAATGCTGCTGACAGATGGAGGAGTGAGAGGAGCACAGTCAGTCTCTTGGATATGGCACCAGTGAGAATATGTCTATCACACCCACAGCCGTCACATTCAAGCATCATAACAACATGTTTCTATCTATGGGTTTTCTATATAGAGTATGTTAACTGCATCATATTTTCTTCTTCCTTCTGAATTCAAAGCCTGTTTAAGATAATGCAGACAGTGCAGTTTTTAAACATAGAATGTAATTTTTACACAATAAGAGTATTTCCAATCCCCATTGTCTTGTAATAGTTCTGATAAACATAAAGATACTTCTAAAACTATGCAGGAAAGGTCAAATTTTACTTAATTGAATGAATATAAGAAGCAATTAATATTTTTTGATACTTTTGTCTTAAAATGGAGCAAAGAGCAAATTTGTTGAAATTTAAAAGATAATTGCTCCACTTGATAAGTATAAATAAATATGAAAAAGCTAAAATATGACTTGTGTATGATTGTGGGTAGCAACATTGTCGTCATAGGAATGCCGTCTCAGTCATTTCTACTGCGCGTTTTCATCCACTAGTTCCAGGTGTAGTACAGACATGTGCTGTGAATTTGAATTAGGAGAGAGCTTGAAGCAAGAGAAGGTTCAAAATCCCCTTTCTAAGCATTTTTCCACTCGGGCCAAAAACACAGTGAAAATAATATCAGTGATAAAATCACTCAGCACCAAATATTGATATTACATTAAACATGGGTGAGTGGACTGGCCCTGTATTATGTCTGTGCAGGAAAATTTAGTCTACATGTGATCTTGATAAAAAAGGAGGAGGAGAGGGGGAACAGAGGGAGAGGAGCGTGCCTTGGCTGTGGTCCAGCTGTAGACAGACTCAGGAAGTTAAGCCGGAATTCCAGCAATGTGGCCAGTCGTTAGGATCCTTCTCTGAGATACAGCCATTTTCACTCTCACTGCTGTCTTTGTTGTGGCGCGGAGGTGGCTGTGTGAAGTCCCATGGATACTAATACCCACATTACAATACAGAGAAAACAGTGTTGTGGATATGAGGGCTAAAATGATGCTCTCTTCTCCATCACTGCCTCGCTTGCTGATATAAAAGATGATTTCCCAGGCTGTTTGGTCCTGACAGTAATAAATGCGGGCAGAGGTAGAATGAAATATGATTGGGCTAAAAATGTATTCAAAAGACGAGCCTGGTGTCTAATTATAACGACATTATAGAAAGCAGAATATCCATCAGTGAGATGACATACATACACAGGGCACATGATTTCAATTATAGATACTGTACAAAATGTGTAATTGTATTCTGACTTACTTAATGGCATGCTGCAGAGGTAAATCAGCCACACAGTGTCAAAACCAAGTGTACTCTTTGGGTCAATCACAAGCCTGGATAAATATGAGGTTTGCATTAGAAAGAATATACTGAAGAAATAGCATACTGCAGAAAGGAAATGAATCACCATGGCAACCCAGAGGGGAAATGTACAGGAAGAATGTGATTCTGTAGCAAAAAATAATTGATAAATAATTTTTAGTGCTTCCAAGTGCCAAATGCCCAAATTTAGAACAAAACTAAATATTACACAATGATTCAGTGACAATGTGTTAGGCTATTGATCCATCTCCTATTTCCTTTTCTTTTGCTGTAAATCTTTAAAACAAATTTGCAGTTTGATGTTTTTGGTAAATAAGAATATAGCCAAATGGTGCAGTTTTAAACCTTGAATTTTGGTGCTGCTATTTTTACAAACCTCTGGACCATGTGAACCATGATTTTCAATTGCTGAAAGCTGAAAAGCTTCAGCTTGTGACCATTATGTATATGTTAACTGGTATATTATTTCTCACAATTAAGGGTCTAACTTTTTAAAATTTGATACAACAATGCTCAAAATGACCTTTCGTCCATAGAGACTTAGTTAGTTATTCTTGTCTTTTTTGCATTACCAACTGATAGGCTCTATCTCCTCTTGTGTTTATGTGGACATTATGGGTCCTCCTGCTGCAGATGAGATGCAGCTGTTGGCATCGAAACTGACAAGTGCGAAACATTTGTGCTCTATCGGTGAGCTGACAAATTGGGCATAGCCGCGATGGGATAGATTAGTTCTACATGTGTGTGTCCGCTGAGTCCAGCTGAAGTAAACACACTCTTTCCTGCCACGGCTGATTGCAGACAAGGTGGTTACTAATGGTCGAGGCTCTCCCAAACCACAAAAGCAGAAAGAAAAACACTAGTTGAAAACAATGTCTTTTAACATAATGTATCATCCCTGACTCGTAAAAGTGCTGTCTGGGTGGCTGTTATGGAAAGTGGTAGGGTAGTAGAGGTTTCAGCTCATTTAAAGGGCACTGGCTTTAGCTCAGAGCCATGAACTGAGCACAGCATGCATTGTTATGATCTCTCAGATACTATCCTTCAATGTTCAGAGTGTATTCACAGCTTGCACTGTGTATGAGCTTCAAGCTGCTCACACATGGAGGCTTCCTGGAGAGATAATGCTCGCTCTGACCTTTTTTGGAACCTCTGTAATTTGGGCCATAGCAAAATAGGGGATACATGAAGAGAAATAGGCATAGTTTCTACTAGTGGTATGTTTTCATATGGGATCCCATCTATTAAGTTTATAGTCTACTAGATGTTTAGACCAACAACATACACCACAGCGTTAGACTATATTTTGATTCTTAGATACTATTTTCATGAAGAGCTGCAAAATGAAACATTACAGACATTAATAAGCAGATCATTTTGATTTATAACAGTGGTTTAAAACTGTTATGTCTGTCAAAATTGAATTTATGATATGTAGGCCCACCGTCATAAAAAAAAAAAAAAAAATCATATTTAATAATTTCATATAACACCTTATTGTTCATTTAAATGCAAAGGAAATTTTGGTTTGATTAGCAGCTTTCACAGCAGAAGGCCTTCCTGACATTATTTTCCAGGCTTGGCACACTCCCCTGTTTTCTGGCCCAAGGATTATCAATAAGATAACTTGTCTTCAAAGGTACTACAATATTTGTTTACAAAGGTACCTATGCTAAAATATCATCTCTGCAGGTTTAACAGTGGGCCACATAATTTGCCTTTATCACTGCATCTGTAAAGCACTAGACCTATGTGTTGTGGCATGGGAAATGTGCAGTCTATGAGTAAGTGAAGAGGAGGGGCGAGTGAGCATGCGGACCTATTGAGAGAGAGGCGGTTCAGCTCTGCTACGGTCTCAGCCTGAGCCGCTCGGAGTAGCACCAGAGCGCTGTGTATGCAGGAACAGGCTCTGCACAGCGTCAAAGCGAACAAATGAAAACCAAAACTACGCTTTCGTGTGGATTTATTTTGGGGCAACACGCTGAGTCGAAGTAGAAGGACTATTGTTGGATTTTGAGCGCCTGGCTTGACTGTGGATTGTACCTTCTCTACCATAACACCACCGAATGATTTCTCTGGCTTCGCCGCTGAGGTTAGTTAGCCTCCATTGCTGCTGTCCGCTGTTTAGGGGTGGGGGGTTTGTCTGCTCTGTTGTTGAACGGTAGGGTGTCACTACCCGATTTGCGCCAGGCAAGCTATAATCTCGGACAAACAACAGCATTGTTTTTGCTGCTAATCGTGCTTGAAAATGTATACATGTGTACAGTGGTAGCTTTGTCATAGCTGTCAGTTGCCAATGGTACAATACCAAATAATGGTAATGCAGTAGCTAAGTTAATGTTAACAATCTGAACACGGACTAATGTTTTACTGAATTTGTCAGTGGGTACTCTAACAGTAAACCCCGTGCTTGAAGTCTACAAAATATTAATATTTTATGAAACATGCATGTTTATACAACTGCAAAGAAGGTCAATATGCGATAAACTACAATTAACGCTGTATGTTGTTTGTCAAAGTGGGGTAGCCGTAACAGACATGGCAGACCGGCACACGCATGCGCAGAACTCAAGTGAAGCAAATCTGGAGGTGAGGCAAATCGGGTAGTGACTTGGGGTCCGGCTAATCTTTGGAGAAGAAACATAGCTGTATTGACCTTTTCAAAGCTAGGATTTACAGTAACGCCTTTTATCGATATCCAAGGAGATGAAACTCCCACCAAACCATCCAACCATCTGGTACCTCCTTTTTACACCGTACAGCACATCTGTCTAACAATTGGCTATTGTCTGCTGGTTAATGTTTTTAAATTACTAACACGTGCTATATAGTTAAGCTAACTGCTAACAGTGACTGCTAACCAAGCTAGCTGTCAGATATCCTAGCTCATTCTGCCTAAAATCTATTGATACTATTCATGTCTTCACTTCGAGATAAACCAAAGTACATGATACCCTCGATCTGCTTTGCTGACGCTGCTGTGATTTATGTTTATGGTGCATGGCACAGTAGCCTACATATGCACAACGATACATTGTTTATTTATTTCTTAATTACACAGTTTGGCTCTGTTTGGATGTAGTTTCACACACCTAAAATAAACACCTTAACACCATAGCTTCTTAACCATTATCAAAACAATCAGATGTTTGTTTGACTATGAGTAACAGTCTGGGCAGGTTTCTTTGTCAGTGAGCAAGTAGACTACCGATCTATATGTGTAGCATGTTTTTATATTTATTCTATATGCATGTATCATACATTGTAACATGTCTTTGAGGTCATTGTTGTCCTTTCAGCTCACTTGTGAGCAAATGTTTACTTTAGCCTCCCCTGCACCATTCTGTTTACAAACACTTGCTTCATTATTGGTCTGAGTTATGTTTTAGAGTATTTGGCTAGTTTATGACCTTATTTGACCAATGGAAGACGTAACAAACCTTTGATAAGGCTTTCCAATAAAATTATGAAATGTAATTAATTAATGAACCAATTTAAATAAAGCTTTGGTTTGAATCGCCAGTCTCCATTTGGTGATTGTGATGATGGAAAGTTGAAGTTGGCCAAATTAATTCCCTCAAATGTCTTTGGTACTTTGTTTCCCTTGTACTTTTTGTAGCCACTTGGTCATTCTTTAAGACTCAAAATGACCAAACAAACCAAAGACACACACATGATTGAATGTACAGTATTACATTAACTGATCATTTATTTTTGTTAAATAACTACTGAGAATCACATGGTGGTTTTGTGCAGTAGTAATTTGTGTCCTTTTTTCTCAAGGAAATAGATGCTGGATTGTCTGAGTCACTCAACTGTAATGTAGGCGGTCTTTCATGAGCAAATTATTGTTTGACTTCTTATGCAATTATGATAAGATAATACTGTAAGTGGTGATGCTATATATAAGCTGCATATAATAACGTGATATGGAGATTAAAAAAAAAAAAAATTATCCCACCTAAACAAGAACACATTACTTGAATGGAATACTTGATGATTGTAGGTACTAATTTCTTGATGAACATTGTGTAAGGTGACCAGGTTGTCATGATATACTGCTGATCTGACGGTGGAAATGCTTTAAATCATATTATTTTGTATCATGCTTCAGTTACAGAGACTCTCTTGTGAGATTTGTCAGTATAATAGAGGGACATTAAAGGTTTGAGCTACATTATGTGTTATGTGAATGGAGAGCTGTGTATTGCTGGGACCGAGCTTAGCTATAGGATAGGAGTGGAGCTGAGGGAGAGTGAGGAGATGTCTCCCCTTATCCTGAAGCCAATGAGGCCAAAGATAATCCGCCTCAGGGAGACGTTTCAGTGCTCTCATTATGAAATGCCACAGTTATGAAACAAAGCGCTCCCTTGAACTGTGTGTGAGACAAGTGTGTTTGTTCATCACTAAATACAAACAGTATGACGTGGTATTTCTGCCAAAACGAATGCAGCCATCTGTGGAGAGAGATACCCAGCTTCATTTGGACTGTCAGTAAAATACTCTGACAGTGTTGAAAATGGTGATCCAATGTTCAGATGAATTATAACGCTAAGGATTTACACTATTGATTTTAGTTTTAGACTGTAGCTGCACACAAGTCTCTGTAATATTTGTGTGCCAAGCTGAATGTAAATATTCTAAAGGAAAAGTACACTTGATAAAGAGCCACTATTAATCTTTATCACATAATGCTGTAATATTGTTATGGGTCATACAGTTCCTCACAATAATGACTTGGATTTTATTTTTTATTTTTTTATGTTATGATATTGCACCATGGTGCGCCATTGATTTGTCTGTATCCGAATCAATACGTGTCCTTATCTGTACTATAATTTTTGAATAGGTCCCCAGATGAAATGCTTGGGCCTTTTTTGAATCTAGCAAATCAGCCACAATGAAAAATGAATTCCTATGGATCATATTTCACTGAAGGTATGCAGGGATGAATCATAGATTAACACCAAACATAGCCTACAGCAGCATAGTACTCCTCATGGCATTTTTGATAATAGTTACAAATTGCAAAAGGACACAGAAAATAACATGCTCTTGAAGTCACATTTTTAATCGAATTTGAGCAGAGTTTTTCAGTCACATCACAGCCTGTAGGTTCCTGGAAAGACCGCTATGAACCCCCTTCACTGTATGTTTGACTAAAGGATTGCAGGAGAAATTGGAGGCAGTTACAACAGCTGTCCACTGTTACTAACACACTGGACCTCACCTGGCCAGCTTTATGTGTTTGGCCACTTCTGATAGGTGATACCTGAGAAAATTTTGTTTAATTTGGTTAATAAAAGCAAGTTTTTGCAATAACTTTAGAATTGGTTTACTAGGACTTGGATCAGGTCTTTGACCAGGACCACACACAAATCTACTTAAATCAGAAAATTCTACACCATAACTTACTTTGTTGTTCTCGATATTAGTAATAAAATAGTATAGTATAATAAATGTATTATTTTCCAGAATGCAAATATTGATGTGCTTTCTAATTTATGGTGGCTCTCCTAAACAGTCACCCATATTTAAGACTACTGAACAAGAAACAAACGGCGGATTAGCGCAGATTAGGCCTGGCTGTGCGATTCACTCCAGCCGGTTACGCAACAGAGATGACAGCATATTATGGGCTGTTACTGTGTGCGCGTGGCATCATATGTATCTGACAACTTTCAGCTGTGAACATTCAAGTAAAGCAGGTTTGCATCTGCAGCAAGTGGCCCAACTCAGATGATCTGACGTTACAAAGACTGCGACATGTCACAGGGAAAGGTACCAGGGTAAGTGTGTGTAATTACAGGCTATAGAGGGCTGGGTGGCACTCAGGACATATGCTGTAGATTCACAATTCACATGTAACTCTAATTAAAGCACCCTGTTAATGATTATGTTGTTATTTAGACTTGGAATACAAAGCATGTTGTCAAAAGTCTTAATAATTGAGACATGATACCTGCTATGATTTTTTTTTTTAGGAGAGATGATCATCTCTGTAATGATAATACCTTTCTGAAATAAATGAACAATGAAAATTAGCTGTTTTTGGTGTTTGAAAGTATTTTAATGTATTTGGCTCATTTGCTCTAAATAAGGATATCAAGGTTAATAGATAATTTTTGTTAATAATTATGACAATTCAGGAACTAAACAATGTGACAATTTTAGAAGTCATACGCACACTTGTCTGGCTTATTTATGTCACATGAACAGAATTTTTCAAAACTTTAGATTTTAGTTCCACACACTAATAATGGACTGATGATGAACATAAAAAAATGTCAGTTGTTTTGGGCGCTGGGCAAGATGTCAGCAATTGGGATTAATTGCATAATTGTGATCCTTCGTACTGTGATTGTAATAATAATCACATCTCAAAATGCTTTATTACGCGGCTTCCCTAGTGCTAAACATATCACAAGTATAGATATGTGCTAGTCGTATATTGTATAGCACGTTGAATTCCTCTTTTGAAACGTGACTTGGTTTCACACACATTTGGGAATAGACTTTCTTATATCTAATATCTCCCCCTGTATTTTGATGTTTCATGTAGTGTTTTGTAATGATCCGCTTCTCCACTGTACTTGCTCTAACAGGATTGCTCTCATCCATAAAGTGCAGCCCTGTGAGGCTCCTGTCATGAGGCCGGGCGGACACACTCGGGTTGCTCGCTGCATTTACACAGGAACATTTCAGAGCTGCTGAATTATTAAGGAGCAGTAAGAACAAGTAGGTCAGCCCTGGGCCCAGCTTCCATGTACACAGGAGTCTTTATAAGGCTCTTTGTGTGCTCTAAACATGTGCTGTAAATGATTAGGACTGGACAATAAACTGGAAGAGCAAATCTCACTGCCATGATATGCAGTATTTACTACTATTTAAAGGTCCTATATTACATAAAATTTACACTTGTGAGCTTTAGGCCTTGTTGGAATGTTGTTACTTCTTCAAAAACATACATGAAGTTTTGTTTTGTTTTATTCACACTTGTTTGAATCTGTCTATATCTCCAAAACTCAAAATACTCTGTTCCACCTTGTGATGTCATGAAGCCATAGATTTCAAGCTAGCAGCCACCTTTTA